ATTCACAATCAGGCAAGATCAAAAGTACTTTGAGGAGGGATTTGTGCCTTGGATTCTATTGTGTTTAAATTGCTGGTTTCTGAAAGGCAGTTTGAACAACTTTGGATTCTCTAATGTTTGCTAATGCTGTGATTGTGAGATACATGATGTGTTCAGTGCAAAAGTATTATTTGCATCAAAGACAAAGAGTGTGATTTCTATTCACTCTGGTAGAACAGCCCTTAAAAATGGGAAGCTGCGTAAACGGACAGGCTTCTGCCCTAAGCCCCAACTCACTGACCACAAGTGGTTTGACGGCATTTCTGTTGTGACCCAGTGTCCCAACTCCATGTCACCCCTCAAAATTTCAGAAGAAATTAATGGAAATGTCTATATAGGTTCAGATTATGAATGTCTCGTGAAAAGGTGTGGTATTACAAAGCAGCAGTGGTGTGGTGGTCGGGCAGTTAACTGCAGTACCTTGGTAAGCAGAGGAAAATTGGTGATTTTTAACATGTGACATAGCATGCAATTTCAGTCTGTTAATACAGAGAAAAGTTGTGGATAAATAGATTTTGGATTATTCTGATGAAAATGGATATAAATTTCCATATAACACTACATGGAAAAAAAAACAAAACCCACAACCCAACCTGAAAATTGGATCAGATACAATGATATCCTAATCTGTCTTCCATTTCTGCTACTGACTGGCACAAGGTGCCTTGGAGGGATGATGAGATCTTGTCTCAGTGTGTTTATTTATGTTATATTGGTCATTACATTCTGTCTTTTCTTAGCTCCTAATATTCAGATGTAATCTGAAAATTAAAATTACGAATCTCAAAATCTCAGTGTCTGAATCCAGCTTTTAACTGTTTGCATGGAGTACAACAAATTGCATCCCTGATCCTGCTTGGGCGGTGAATACTGCTGCAATACAAACAATAATAATCACATTTACTAAGGCAAAGAGAGGCAAAAAATAAAAATCTGTTTCCATGAAGTAATAAAAGGTACAACAAAAGCGTTAGCTGGCATGTCCTCTTTCCCATGGAAACACCAGAAAAGAGAGAACCCTCTGCTGAAATAAAAGCAGTCTCTACAAAATGAATCATTTCTTTTTAAAACCTGCGGGCATCCCTGCAATTTGGGGCTGTGGTCACGGGGGCTCCTCCTCCCTGGCAATGGCATACTGGTTCCAGGGGGGAGAGCTGCTCGCCTGGTTACTGAGGCTTGAGGCATGCCCGTCTATGCCAAACAAAGCCTAAATGAAACACCAAATGTATTTAGGTTGTGGGTCTGTGAGGCAGGCAAGCATCCTTTTGTTAATCACGTAGATGTGCAGCGTGTAGAACAGTGATGTAGGGCTGCGCCAGAGCCTGTACGGTGAGAATAAGGTAATGTCAGGAACTGCTGAGAGAAGAGAGTGTGAAGAGGAGACACACACAGGCGAGACAGCCCTTGGAAGTGGCTAAGGTGGGGGCAATTTTCCCAGGGGTTTGTCCTCCAGGGGCAATTAGTTTCACTGCTGCTGCTCTGGCCGTAACACCTCTCTGCAGGTGCAGGATGAAACCACCCTGCTCTCATCGCAGGGCTGCGGGATGGGTTAGGTGATGCCCTCGTGCCTTGTTGAGTTTCCAGGATTTGCTTGGGTTTCATACCTTCCTTTGGTAGGGCAAATTTTAGACATGGAGTGGATAGACCAAACAGTATCCCATGTTTTGCTTTTGGGGCAGGGAGTGCATCTGTTCTCAACATTAGGAGATCTCCAGTTTACTGCTGCTTCACGACGTCTGTGTAAATGGTCCTTGTCCCTGTGAAGTCAATGTATCTTCTACTGTGGTTTGGTGATAGGTAGGAATTAGATGTTTCCATACTAAATAGATTTCCCAGTGCTTAAGTAATTGCCAAAGCCCAGAAACATGAGAAGGGCCCCAAGGAAGCACGCAGGGGGTTGTAGTCTGGTCATGAGATCACTGTGTTTTCTTCAGTGCACTGCCTCCAGATGCTGGCCACCAGATAGCGTCTGGAAGCCAATTATATGGCATTACACAATATGGAATTGCTCAATGGCTTGCATTATGTCCCTTGGGTTGCAACCCTTTGTGGCCCTGGACAGATTATAACTGATACCAACCGATGTCAGAGAAATTATTTCAGGCTGGGTAGTTGTTATGGAAGCCATAGGATGACACCAATAATCACTGCAAGACTAAGTAACTATTTATGAAAAATGTTTTATATAAAATGCATGTAGAAAAATTACAATATTTACATGTTACCCCAATCTACAACCACAAACAAAAATTTGCTACATTCAACATAAAGTGAGATGGCAAGTACGATGCAGGGTGCAAATGCACAAACAGAGTTGCTGATTTTTTCCAGTCATCTTCAAATGTGTCCTGTCAGACGCTGTTCGGCAGTCTCGCCCCAAGGTAACATCTGGCAAGCATGCCTTGGGATTATTCAGAAATGAAGTATGATAATTTGGTGTGATCCCTGTTGAGATAGGCTCTGCATGTGGAGACCAAGAGTATGTACATTTAGATAAAAAGATAATGCCTGGGAGTATTCCTCAAGCGACAGCCAGCCTGGTGTTATATACTGAGAGCTGAGTAGAGAACATGGAGCAAAAAGATCCGTGTGAGACAGCTCGTCTTAGCATCAGCTCCAAGTTTGTGGAGTCTCCCACAGTGTCCTTCCAGCCCTTTCTAACAGCCATGACTCCTACGTTACACAAGTCGGTTCTTGGCCACAGGGGAGGGTTTCGGACTCTAAGCTACCACCAGTAAATTTGAAATACTTTTTCACAGTTCCAATAAATTTCCTTTCAAACAAGCTCCTAAAACAACATTTCTAAAAAAAACCATCAACCACCAAACTTTTTAACATAACACATTGCTAAAAAATCCCTCAAACCTGGTAACATGGGTCAGTCCTGTGCTGAGATCAAAAAGCCCGGTCCATCTGCAAGGAGAACCTACAAAAGTAGTTTCTCCACTACAGCAGACATCCAGATATGTAGGGAATGGCAGAAAATTCCTGAATTAAACACTGAAATCAGAAAGAAAACTGTGGAAAACACTTTCTGTTTTCTGTTGAAACTGATGATTCGAGAGTGGGGCAAACCAAAGCGCTGCAGTAAACGATGAAGAATTTCACATATTTGACTATCGCTGAGAAACCGTACATGCGACGCGATGTTAAAACAGCAGGCAAAAGCTAAACCTCATCATTTTAGGCTTACGGCAGTGTGTTCCTTTGCCCTAACCCATCAAAAGATGGCTATTAATGAAATTCTCCTCTTACAGCTCCAACACAGGTATTTAAGTGACCCAATGTACCTGCTTTTCTGGATGACAACACAAATGCAGGGACTCGTGTCTATTCATTTCCTCTTGTTGACAAAGTAGTGAGATGAACGATGCGTGTTTACTCGCGAGGCCCGTACGTAAGGGCTGTACAGTGATTTAATTACCAGAATGTGGAGGTGAATGCGAGGGTTCCCACGGCAACCTTTAGTGTATTAAAAAAACAGACAGCTAGACTTTCTCCTGGCATCATTCTGTTGACGTAAAGGAACATCTGCAGAACAACTGTCTTCCTTTCCCTCCTTTTAGTTTTAATTTCATTCTTTTGTCCCCCCACTGTTTTCTCTGAACCTGGGCAAAATGCATTCATGGTGCAAAATGGTATTGCTCCACTGACAATTCTGCAGATGTGCCGATTCACGCTACCTGTGGATCTAGCCCACACAGCTTATGCTTGCAGATCCTTTTCTTTTTCCCTTTATTTTTTAATAGAAAATAGCCCTACTCATAGAGTTAAAAATATAGTGGCCAGTTTTTAAAAAATTATGCTTGTAAAAAAATTACGAAAATTTCCCACCTGTTCCTTAAAAATAAAATTAAATCAAAGCAGCATTACCTAAATACGCAGCTCTTGTTTACGTACGGACAGTTGTGTATGTTTTCCTTAAAATATTAGTCACTGGGGTGTGTTATTCTGCATTACATCCTACTAAATACAGGCCAGTACAAATAAACGTAGAAGAACCATGTCATGCTTAATTTGTGGCAAATGTCTAATAGAATTCAGTATTTGCAGAAAAACACTTTCTTTTTTCCTGGATCAAGTACTTGTAGTTGCTGTTACACTTGTTGACAGCCTTACTGAACCTATTAGAAGCCTGGTGAAATCTTTGCGGCACAGTAATCAAGTAAATAGGCAATATCATAATATGCTGATCAAAATACTGATTGATTTCAAAACCTCTTCTGTGCCATTTCAGCAGCTGTTTTTATGTACAATATCCTGATTAAGACAGACTAATGTGTTTACTCAAGCCATGATCCTGAAAAATGCTTAAGCACATATTTAATTTCAAGCATGTAAATACTCTGATTTAGTCTGACTGTTCATGTGCTTAAAATTAATTAGGTGCTTAAGTGCTTTGTTAGACGAGATGAAGATGTGCAGTTTGAGTTTCTGATGGCCTCTAACTTTTGTAAAACTGAGATAAAACCAAAATTTCCAGAGTAATTCCACGGGCATCTGGGAAGCAGTACTTGCAAAGGCTCCTTACAGGAGCAGAGTTATTCAAGATCGGGTGGCAATGGAGCCCACAACTAAAATTTGAGATCTGGTCTCAGCCTTGAGGAAGCGTAGCTGGAGCATCCCCCCTGCCGTGGCTGAGCTGGTGTGGAGCATCTCTGCGGAGGTGATGGCCAGCGCTTACCTGCCCGGGGTGCTGCCCAAAGGTATGGTCTGTGGGGTGTGAAATCCTGGCTTGGTTGGGCAGCGAGCCGTGGGGCCCGTGCCTGCACGGAGCATCGCCACCCGCAGCTGCAGCCAGCTGTGCTGCTCCTTCCCCGCTGGTGGGAGAGTGAGCTGAGAAAGGGGAGTCTGGTATTGTCGGTATTGCTACGGTGTTGGCTTATTATCCCCTCTCCTACCGAGTTCTAAGCTGGCCCTGACAATGAAAACTGGCTCATTTGGAGCACGATGTTCATCTTTTAACCGATCATAAAGGCTCCAAAGAAACTTGCTTCTTTGTCCATGTCAACTATGTCACTATTACTGACAGAGACAAAAATCCTGTCCTCTCTTTTCAGCTGAAACACGCCACCTTGGTAGATGGAGTAAAGTCCATATTCTGCCTTTTTCGACCAGCAGCTTGTTCTTGCACTTTTCATGAGTAAAATGGGCTCTGGGTAATTAGTCAGTTTGTAAACATATTGGACAAGCTGTTTGGGACTCCTGATTTGTGCCAACAAATCTGAATCCTCATTCTCGCTTTCACGGAAACGAAAATACGTCTGTGAGTAGATGTAATAAAACCCGGTTTGGGGTATCACCAACTCGCCATTTCGCAGCTTGTTCTTGCACTTTTCATGAGTAAAATGGGCTCTGGGTAATTAGTCAGTTTGTAAACATATTGGACAAGCTGTTTGGGACTCCTGATTTGTGCCAACAAATCTGAATCCTCATTCTCGCTTTCACGGAAACGAAAATACGTCTGTGAGTAGATGTAATAAAACCCGGTTTGGGGTATCACCAACTCGCCATTTCTTTTTTAAGAGTGGCCTTTCCTTGACGATTCCCAGTTGTTTATTTTTTGTCCATTCCCTCTTCTGGTTGATGAATCTACTTGAGAAGAAAGAGAGAAAATGTTAAATTAAAAGCCAGGTAGTTGGGGAGTCTGTTTTTTAACAACGAAGTAAGGAAACCTGTTCCTCCCAGGGGCCCATTAAGTCCATTCTCAAAACAATGTGAAGGCAAGTTGTTTAGCCCTCTGTGGCAATTCACATGGAATGCCTTGATTTTTAATTTTTGTGCTCCCAAATAAGAGGAAAAATCATCATGCTGTTACTTAGTACCAAAGTTAAAATATCTATTTGTGTCCGACACCCTCCACAGCTGTAGAAACCCTACCAAGCCCTTCATTAACACGGCCTGAATGTCAAGTCTCTCCTGTCTCTGTCTCACATTTCTGCTAGGTCTGTCACCATAGCAGCTGGGACTCACAACTAACAGAAGCAAATTAAAGGAAAGAAAAGAGGAAAACTTAATGTTAGGAAGAAGGATATTTAATTATTTTTCCCTAACGAAGACTCCAGAAGAAAAGTCAGTGAGGTACCCAGTGGCAATGGGCTTTCTCCCTGTTCTGCGAGAGTTAGCTGAAAAAATTACTGTATGGGACAAGATGACTTTTTTATGATCTGTTTCTTTCTCTTAATTCAGTGCAAGCCTTAAGAAGTGTACGTAAGCTAGCAACGAGAGAGCAATTTCTGTGATCTTTAACTGTATTGAAAGGTTTTTCCTTACTGCGTGGGGACAGGGAGTTCTTATTGTTGTTGCCGGTGAGATGTGCCGCAATCCTGTTGATGGGACCGCGCGGTGGCTGCCCATCCGAGTGCGGTAGCGTCAGGGTTCTTTCAGCTGAGACAGGACCAGAAAAGGAACCTCACATTAGAAGCAAGGACGTAAGAAAGCACATCTGCTGCCTGGTAAACACATCTGTCCCATCTGACTTGATTTTTAAGGAATACGTATATAACTTTTTATAACTGACTAAATCATAGACTGAATGCTGTATATTGGCTAATAAGGCTCGTATTTCTTTTTCGCTCTTGCTCTCCTTGGAATGTTTTTATATGCCTCTTTGTTCTCCTTTTTCTCCTTCCACTGCCCCAAAATTACCCACAGACAAAATAACCCAGAGTACCAAACGTTCCTATTCACGCTCATTATCCTCTAAGGTTAAGTATCCAATGTTTGCTCCGAATTTCCACTTTGAGGTTGTAATGCTTTCGCTCAACGTGGTTAGAGCTGCATGATCTCCAGCAGCGCTGTTCCTAACTGACCTCTGCGCACAGCAGCTCCGTGCTGCTTGTTCCCAGGACAGCAGGCTGTTTAAATGTCCCCGTAACACTGTGGGACCGAGGTCTAGAAGCCGAGTCCTTTACATCTACCTCGGTCACCTTGCTCTAACCACTCCACTGTACTTCTGGCTCCTGGAAATTTGCCTTTTAGCAATAAGTAATAATTTTTTGATGACTTGCTGCCAGTACAAGATCTTAGTCATTGGTTTTGTACTTCTAAAAAGTTCCTCGAGTCACTACACATCAGGTGCCACCAGCAGAGCTGTTTTTTTGCCACAGATAATAAAATTATTATAATACCGTTGACTGCAGACATGTTTTCCTCGTAGCTTCTCGACATCATCTGCCAACAAACACAGAGAAAACAAATTAGCCAGCAGAAACTGATAGGTGCAGGAAAAAGACATTCCTTTCTCAAACTCATGAATAAAGAGAATTCTGGATTTGATCAACAAGCAAATCAAAAAACACCTATTAATTTGCTGTAATAAAGTATTTCTACATTTACATATTTTATGTAACAAACTATGTGGGAGAACATTTTCAAGAGAGCTCAGCCATCTGGGCTTTAGGTCTACTAGAAAATTTGACCCTCGTGCTCTTCTTAACTAAGAGAGACAGTGCACAAGCACCAGCTTCCGCTTGCTGAATACTTGGCAGCATGCACTTCTGTGGGACCTTGGCTCTGGGAAATTAAATTTCATTTATTTTTATACTTTTTTCTTTCTTTCTGTCTGTCTTCTCTTAAGCCAGTATACCTTACTTTGTGCATTCCCCTTCCCTATAACTGTTTGCTGACTGCTGAAAAGAACTTTCTCGGCTACTGACGGTGCAGCAAGTTGAGGGTTTGAGATGATTTACCTGGGTGACTAACGTGGGCCCTGTATTGCAACTTACTGATGGGTTCTGCCCTCAAGACATTTCTACCTATCTATCCATCCATCTGTCCGTCCATCCATCCTTTCATTATTGTTATTATAATCATTATAATTTATTATTTCTGGCACCCAGGCTATGTCTTTTTAAGCCGTAAAGGAGCTAGTAGGTATATTAGCTACGTAAATGTTCACTAAATAAAGCAATGTTTTCTTTATGCAGAAGTTCAGGGACTTTACTGGCAGAACATCCACCAAAGGAGCCGAGATCTCTTAATACAAATAAAGGATCTATTTTGGGCTGCAAGATTTTCCAGGTAAGTTTCAGCCAGATGGGAATTTTCACGCATGTGGGGTTTTGTGTATTGAAGATGTGATTTTGAAAACCATTCCAGAAGATTTTAGTCTTTCATATTTTTCAGCCAGGCTTATTTTCCTCTCTGTATTCAGAATTACATGTATGGCATGTAAGTCATGCAGGAGATGGTGTTCTCTGAATGCTGAGCTGGGAAGGTGCTGTGTCCGATGCTGTGTGCTCACTCACTTTCCTCCCCTAATACATTACACAGCCCATGACTAGCCCATTCCTTAGGCACCTTTTTACCTCTCCCCATGTTACATTTCATCTCATTTTTTCATGCCATCCTCCCTGTATTTCCACAGAGGCAGCAACACCTCTGCTAGCACTATGATCTGCGTGGTCAGGTAGAAAGCGAGCTCAAGTCAAACAAACACTCCTACACTGAGGTGTTTCAAACAAGCCAATCTATCACTGAAATCATCTTAAACTGATGGTCCTTGCTTTATTATTTCCTGAATCTAGCACTGCCATGGGTGTGTTTGGCTTCAGTGCAAGCACTATGCAGCTGAGGCTGCAGCTTGACTATTGCTTTCTGAAAAAACGATCCGAGACCCCCCCCTTTTATCAGCTATTAGGATTTTTGAATTGTAATATCACCAACCACCCCTGTTTCAGCATGCGAGTTCCCAAATACCTTTTTAATTAACTTTCCCAGGTGCCACTTTACTTGCCAGCAGGGATCAGCCGCTCTTTCTTCGCTTTCAATTATATCCAAGTTTTGGATGAAATTTCCCATTTCCTCCCCGGTGAGACAAGCAATGCCGCTCTTGGAGTACGTGTCCCGGAGCTGCAGCAGAAGGGAAAGACCGGATTTGTCACCCATGATATGGTCACAGATGTTTGGCTGTGGTAAGTCCCTAAATTCATTACTCTTAGGAACATGCTTTCTTTTCTTTAAAGCATTTGCTACTACGGTGCAAGTTATGACTACAGAGACAGCCCAAGTAATTCATCCTGATTTTACATATTTATTTATGATGGCATATCCAATATACAAAAATATACTTACATGATTTCCCTGGACATAGATTTCATACCCAGCACTCAAGTAAAGAAGCTTTGTGAAAATTCAGTACCCAAATCACTAATGTGAATTCTTCAGTTTCTCTAGGTTTGCGTTAAAAACATTTCTTTTGCACAAGGGATTTTTCTTCACAAATTATTGAGGATGAAATCAAATATCAGACCTGAAAAGCATTTTCCATTCTGTTCTTTAGCCAATGCCATTTACTGTCCAGGTTTTTACTGTTAAATATCCACACCATATCCCACTCCTATCCAGTCTGGGGTCTCTCCAGAACTGCATTTGACCTATTAGTCCATGCAAACCCTTCAAACTGACTTTTCCTAGGACTTCTCCAAACTTTTAAATTTCGCTCTGTGGTTTGGTTTGCTAAACAGATGGGTTTGTTCTACAAGTACCAGTTTCAGCTGTCCTGGAGACTGAGTTATTGAAAGCAACAAATGGGGTCAACTCCTCCTTCACCCTCCCCTGCTTTTCCTGCCTGTTAGAAAACAAAGAGAGATTTCCTGCCCCAGGAAGATTAGGAGAATTCACCCATATTACTCTACAGACCCTGCAGGGTTCAACAGCCCCTTCAGTTTGCAGCAACTCTATTGAGCTTCATCTAATACTTGAAGTGATTTTGTACTTGGTGGGCATCAAAGCGAAATGGGGCTACCACTGCAAGTGTTTGTGACGGTTTCTCTGTCTTCGCCAAGGAGTACAGTGATATCCTTAAATCAGGTTTCTTGTTTCAAGAGCTCACTTAAAGCGATTAAAATTATGTGCTTATTAAGGTTAAATCACACTTAAAACTAAGGGCTCTGGCAGATCTAACTATACTAGCTGCTCTAAACAAAGTAGTTCCATGAGTTTAAAAACCTCAAAAACCATCAGCAGTTGAGATGTTACTGCTTATTCTCTTAACAGATCTGCTACATTTGGCCTCTGAGCTTTGCCCTCCAATCTGGAAGCAAGCAGTCCTGTGCTCCTGCCTTCTCCTTACCTGCATAGTTTTCCCCCAGACAGCTTGACTATCCTGGCATTGGAACAGTACTTTGCATGCTTTTCCTCAGGAAATTCAACCTTGGGGAATTCAACCTTGTATCGGCACCGTGTGGTAGCGAAGGTTTGGTATTTCTATTTTATGGGTAGAGAAAGCAAGGCATCGGGGTGTTGTAAGACTTACTCAAAGGAGGTTTATCTGTTGCAGTGAAATCTTTGAGGACACAAGTCCTGCAGGAACGCTATCTTGTAAAGCTTCTATTCTAGGAGTAGTTTTCAAAACAGAAGGAAGTCTATTTTCATTGCAGCCCTGTATCCTGAAGCATAATGAACTTTATTGTGCTCGTGTCTCAGCACTTCCTCCCACAGCAAAACTGTTAAATGGTCGTATTTGTAGTCCTGCTCAGATTACTACAGCTGAGTAGAAAAAACCCTGATAGTTATGCATTATTCTTTTTTTTAAAAGCTAAAAACATCTTCAGTCCTCTGCAGCCTTAGTAATTTGGTGAAGGTACAGAAATGCATATATTGCAAACAACAAAGGAAGAGGGCAAAAATCACTGTTTATCTTTTGAAATTTATTCCACATGCACCACGTGACTGTGGGGTGGTAGGCTATGTTTCTAGATAAGCTTTTTCCTTGTTTATTGTGCATTAGATGGCACATGCAAGAAAACGTGCTTAAGATACCCCCTCCAGAGCCAGCACCCTCACTTCGTAGCCCAGCAGAACTTCAGTGTGGGCAGATTTAGCTTTTCACACCAAATGCAGGCTTGTTATTCTTCAAAAACAATGAGCTGTATTTTGGGCAAGTATCATTAGGTGTGGTTGTATCCTAGGTGTACGTATTTGAATAAAAGGAAGGGAAAGATAAGTGGTTACTAATTACTTAGAATGGCAAGCTTGTTAGGAAAGGAGTCTGAACGTACGCATGAAGAGATGAGAATGCATTTCTACATTTCATTATCCGTATTATGTATTCTGATTTCTTAAAAACAACATGGCTCTGTGACTTCCCTGTTGCACCACATATGGGACAGCCACAGCTATAAACTCTGCAGGAAAACATGGTTTATACACTTCCAAAATATGAGCATTGCCATATATTGTAGAATACTCTGTACCCTTTAACATTTGCTTCGCAGAGGATTTGGGACACCTCAAAGGACTCCACCAATGAAATTTGGTGGGGAATAAATGCACAGGTAACGTAACACTTTGCAATTACGCAACACTTCCTGAAGTTGACTTACCTGCGGTTAGGTTTACCTTTGTGCCAGGGAGAGCAACATACTGGTGTAATTTAAAGCAGGGTAGTAAATTTTGGGTGAGCCACTCAGGGAAACCCTGAGTGCTGGGGGTGAATGAACAGCAGGACTGCACACATTGGACCATCAGCTAAATGTAATTTTCTTGGCATGCAAATGACCCTTTGCAGGAAGAGGAAGGAGTTAAGCAGGAGCTAGCAGGCTTGGGGTGCAAGGAGACCGAAGCATCTAGAGTACACAGTGGGGTTTTACAAGTCATTCTGAGGAATTCAGTGGTGTCTGCAGTCTGGGTGAAGTTCCTTTGGGATTAGTCAGTCTTAAAACTTTGGAAGTTCCTAGAGGAGGCACCTCAGCTTTTCCCAGGCATTTTTTCCCCTTGTTGTCGGTATGAACATGCAGCTGGCCCAGGCTGCTGTGGCCCTCCGGGGGCTGCTGAGGCTCCTGCCCGCTGCTGGGGCACCGCAGTGGGGGGAAGTAGCGAGCTGGGCGCCCTCATTACACGCGCTTCGCTGCTTCCCTGCAAACAAAGCGTGTAACTTGAGGGGAAGGCAAAAAAAAAAAAGGCAAAACCTTTTTAATTGTTCTTGCCTTGAAGTCGTCCCCTCCGTGCACGCCCCAGGAAAGCCTAGACAAAGGAGCGGGCACGGGCAGAGCGGAGCTCTTTGTCTGGGGCGGCTCCGCGCTCCCGCGGCGCGTCCGCTGCCGGCGCTGAGTCCGTCCGTGCG